GACGTGTTTGAACTATCAACAAATGCTTTGATAAGCAGAAGTCCCGTCCGATTTCCATGGCGCGATCACATAAATAACAAAACGGCAAACAGTGTTTTTGACAGAGTTTGCACATATAAGAGAGTTGCATATTAGGATAGAAATTATGCTTCGGATTCTGCTATTTCGGGTACAACATCGTGCAGTATATGTCGTTTGACTGACATTTTTTGAACTACTTCCACGATTTGTTAAAGTTGTTCGAAGTACTGTATCAAAATGAAACTTGTTATTAGAGAAATGCTATAATTCGGCGAACAATCAATGTTCTCATCATATTGAAGTCGTTGTTGATGAAGCGATGCGGTTATGGCAGTGAATCGCCCAGTGGTGATGAATGCGAATGACTCAAATGCTTTTGCCAGTGGTCTTTCGTGTCAAGGGAGCCTCCGCATTCTTTTACACGCTCGGCTTTCTGTTTCATTTCCTCCAGTGTGATGAGCTACTCGTCTCGCTATTCAAGTTCATATTCAAATCGCTATTCTGATCGTTATGGTGACTCTTCAACTAATTATGGGGACACTTCTAGTCGTTACACATCCAAGTCCGACTATTCTAGTCGACTTGGGGATTTAACTGAGAAAGAATTAACCGACACTTCTGGTTACAGTAAGCGCAGATCCAAGTATGCAGCCTATTATGAGTCAGGTTAGTTTTATGACCAAAACTCTTTCAACTTTTGCTAACACAAAGGATTTTCTAATTGATTATCTACATATTCTAAGCATTTTACAGCCTACACAACGGACATTGACAACTACTCTTCCAGAAGCAAAAAAACAGGCATGGATGACGAAGATGTTTCCGAAAAAAGTAAGAGAATAGTCTTTGTACATAAGCAATCTTTCATAAATCTCGAAAAAAATGACTTTTTTCGCTCGATCCCAGATTTTGACATTTACATAAACATTTTCTAAACTTCTTTTGTTGCTGAAAGAACCAAATTGAAATTTAAGTTTTTTTTTAATCTTTTTAGATACAACCCTGTAAAAATATTGTTTTAGAGTGCCGTAATCACGATGAAACTATGATTGAAGGGAAACTGAATGACGAAGAGGTTATAATGAAGCGCGAAGAGAATTTAGGGAAGAGCAGAGAGAAAAAATACGTAAAAGAACCAAATTACGGTGAAAATGAACTGGTAACGTCTTCAGCTGAGCAGAAAGTGGAAAATGATGAAGAAGAAAGTGTCTTCACGCCGGCGAAGCAAATAGAAGAAAATGAGGAAAATGCCGAATACGAGGTGAGCTGCTCAGTTAGGATATTGTTTTATCATTATGCTATGCCTTGCTTTTTTATTTCAGAACTTGAATGACGCGTTTAGTCTACTATAGTTTGATCTACTGTATCTCAGGATTGTGTGAAATAACTAGTGCATGCAGATATTTACAGGAAGAAGAAGTAGGAGAAGAACAAGAGGAGGAAGTTGACGAAGATGAAGAGATCGCAGATTATCGGAAGAAAGAAGACGAAGAAATTACAGAAACTATAAGGAAAACCTCCGACTCGCTTATGCATGCTGAAGATGATGGTGA